AAGCGATTTGGGCCGGTATCGGGAGATGCCTAGATTATAGTCAATTGGCCCAAGCGTAATGTAAAGGCCCTAAATTGTGCAAGGACGTAGAAAGATTAAGGGAAATATGGCGAGAATTGTGCACACGATGAGTGTCTATTATGTATGTAAACGTAGATAATATAAATAGAGGGGAACCCTCCATTGTAGGGCAAGTGAAAAGCACTGAAACACAGTTATTAATAGAAATATTATGATATTTATCAATTACAAATTATATTTCGTTCATCGTCGCCATAGTTGTTTGGCTAATTCCCATCATTGGTGCTTCCATTGAGAGATTACATGTGAGATTGTGAGTTGAGAATATGGTCGGCCGAATGACGAGAAACTCTAGGCGCAGTGCTGCAAATTCTCAGCAGTCTTCAGCCAAGTCAAGAGTTCCTGAACAAGCAGTCGTTACACAGCCTAATGGCATTGAAGTGGCATTAAACAACTTTGCCAGCATGATAGCAAATGTTATGGACCACCCTTCTTGGCCCTTCTAGGATTCCGAGGTAGATTCCGGAGACGCAGCCATGTCAGATGAATCCCATTCTACAGAAGGTAGAAAAGTTTGTGCCACCTGCTAAAAATAGGGGAGGTATAAAAGATTATGCCCCCTCCGGAGGTAGAAAAAATTTATGCCTCCGTCAAACCAAGTAAGGGAATGTGAGAAGGACTTAGAGTAGTTTCGCTATCCTGTCCTTTAGAAGAACGGCAAACGGACTTAGAGGGCCGGAGTCTAGTAAACCACCATTCATGCCCAGGAAGAAGATGGGAAAACTGACGCTTCCAAAGCAACATGAAAAAAAGATCATGCCTTAACCTGGGGATATAGGTAAAGAGAATGCTATACTTTACCTAATACCCTTAGGGAGTGAGATCAACGGTGCAATGGGAGTAGAGGTAAACAAATACATTTCGCTTCACAGAGAGCGCACATATATGGAATAAAGACATGACATAAAATGTTTTTCATTAAGATAACTCGTACAAATGATTACATTCTTTCGAGTTATGATAATGAGCTTTACCCCAGATCTACTACAAAAGATATAACTAGTTAAATAAAAAAACTCTGACAAATGTGCAATGTGACTGGCAACCTTCAGTATGGAAGAATCGAGCCCGGATGGGCACACCTGGATTTGGATTGAACATCAACTCCCGATGGTTCTTCCAGACCAGGTTGAGAGAGCATTAAAGCAAGAGGTCCAAGGAGGGCCTATTGCATCAATGGAAGAAATATATTCCCTAACCCAAGATTGATGGAGATCTTGGTGCCAAAAGGGTACTAAAGAGTTGGGATTGAACACCATACCCCATGATCCACCCCTCTATTTGGGTGAAGGAAGGCATGAAGGAAACTGATCCGGTGAAAGAACATATTGCATCCATGCACCTAGGGGGAAAGAGACAAAGGAGCCCAAAAAGGACCGTCCTCCCTCTGGATGGATAGATCCACCTTTCCACCCATGTCATAATCCCCCCAATCCTCTGAATAATTCTCGGATGTTTTTTGAGGAGACGTTGGTACTGTGTCCCACTAAAAATCCATTCTGCTCTGGCGGTACCTGGTTAGGACGGGTTGGTTTAACCGTCTCCGCCTACCGTCGGTACCCAGGTACCGTTACACGGTATGGGGTACCATGTAGGCGGTATACCCTACCGTTTGGGGTACCGCTAGGGGTACCGTGCCAATGTCCTGAGTTTTCCAAAATTCCCTTAATCCTTCGTGTTTGAGTTTAAAACCTTTTAGATATTTGAAAATGTTTATGGGATGGTTTCTACGTATATTCTACGCTAGTTTAGTGTTTCGACTTCATTCTTGAGTACCGAATCTTAATGGATTCTTGTTTTACCTGAAACACTTAAACAAACGTTCAGCTCTTATATTGTTTGTTAACATCAAAACATGAGGCTTAGCAAACCAAGGCTAACAAGTATAACACAATCGATTTTATACTAGTTCGGGAACTCCCTACTTCAGTACCTCGAGGCTCCTCCTCAAAGATTTAACCTCCACTAACTTGTTTGGATTCACTAAAAAGATCCAAACGAGGTTTGGCAAACAACCCTTGCCAATAAGCAACGAGATTTTATATCGGCTATCTCGACCATTTACAACCAAAGATTTAGAGGCTATCTTCAACCTTTCAAAGTGGATTTAAAGGTTATCCACACCTTTTACAAAATTATGAAAGTGTTTGTTGCTTCTCTTCCAAAGTAATATATAATGTAATTGGGTAGGAGAAGAACAAGATGTAAAACAACAACAATTACCTATAAGCAAGATAAGAAGATGAAACATAAAAGCCCTTGGTGTGTGTGTGTTGAAAATATAAATATCAAATCTTTAAATTCAAAAGAAAAAAATCAGGATCTTAAAGCTTAGAACACTCAAATGATCAAGAATGAGATTATGGAATGTAATGTATGTTGAAGGGTGTTGTTGTGTCTTTTGGAGAGGCTTAGGAGGTGTATTTTTAGTGTTTAGGAGGTTTAAAATGGGTTTGAATTGTTAAAGAGACGTTGGGAGACAAATTAGGTTGATTGGGATTATTTAAATCAATTAGGAACAGTAACCCAACGGCTCCGGTACCTGTAACGGTAGGGGTACCG